TTTAGTGCGATTTTTAGGTGATTTTTGGAGAAATTTAGGCGAAATGTAAGTAATCAATAAAATAACGAAATGTCGCTGAACCAAAAATTTTTAAAAAATGTATAATTATGCAAATTTTGAAACATTTTTGGCGTTTTTAAAGCTTTTTTAACACGTTTTTTAGAGAAATGTGAACGATATGTATGTAATTAATCAATAAAGTAACGAAATGTCACAAAAGTTTAAAATTTTTAAAAAATCAAAATTTTAAAAAAATTTAATAAAAATTCCCAATTTTTCAATTTTTAAAAATTTTTAAAAATTTGTAATCACACTCTGCACTGTGTAACAGACCAAAATGTAAAAAACTGCCCTGTGCAATCCCTCTACTAACCTCACTGCACGGTGCAACCCCTATTCCCCAAAAACCCTTTGCACCGTGCAACTGTCACCCCCCAAAAAAAAAATATGCACGGTGCAACCCCAATTCCCCAAACAACCCTCTGCACGGTGCAATCATTCCCCATCCCAAATTGTCGCACTTGAAATTCAATTTGTCGCCAAGCCATTCCAGAAACCGCAGTGCACTCGCGACAACATTATTTTCATGCCAAAGTGCACAGTTTGATCGAGTGTCGCTGCGCACGAATGCACCCGTTTTTGCACAGTGCGATCGAATTTCGGGAAGCGATGATAGAGTGCGACAGCTGGCGGAATCAAATTTTCTGCGACAAATTTGGGCATTCCGAATTTTGTCGCAAAACTTGAATTTTGTGGGTTTGTCGCAACATTGGGAGAGGTTGGAGTGTCGCAACTCTGATTCAAGGATGTTTTGTCGCTAAAGTTTTGCGACAAATTGATCTGCAAACGTTGCGACGACAGAGAAAGTTTGCGACATTTTGGTTTTCGCGACAAACCTTACCCTTAGCAACGGCGACAAACTTCATTTGCAACGCCAGCGACAACCCTTTCTCTGCGACATAAGCCAGCCCAATTCCAAGCAGCGACAAGTGCAGAGAAAAGTCAACAAAATTCAGGAACCGCGACAAACCAACATGGATTTTGGTCCTTTTGTCGCGCCGCTAATCTTGCACTCTGGCTGCCAAAAAACATGGGATTGAATGCCGAAAAAACAAAGGAAATCTGTCGCGATTTGGGCGCGTTTCCTGTCGCCAGGTCATGGCCGGCCGTGGCTGCACAGTGCAGTTTAAAAAGACTGGTTTTGGAGTTTGCACAGTGCAAAGGAGATGAAGAAATTGATTGCACGGTGCAGTAGAAGGTTTGTTGCACTGTGCAGATTCTTTATATTCTTGCACCGTGCAAAATCATCCGAATTGCACAGTCCAGTTTAAAAAGATTATTTTGCACAGTGCAAACTATTCTTTAAAAACTGCACGGTGCAAACAATTTATTCAAGACTGCACGGTGCAACAATGAATGTTTGCACGGTGCAGTTTGTTTTTGAGCTTAAAAATCCTCGAAAATCGGCGTTTTTTCAAGTTTTCGCCGCGATTTGTTTAACATTATATGCAAATTAAGCGCATAACTAATTAGATTTGCACTCGAGAGATCTCGAATGACCTTTTGTCGCTGTTTACAAGACTTTTGAAGGCTTACAGTCAAGAAAAAGTGGCAAAAACGAGGAAAATGAGAGAGAAAGTCAGAAACAAATTTTGAAAAACAAATGAAAATGAATAAAGATACAGTAGAAAAAAGTATATACCTTTAAAAAATACATTTTGATGACGGTTTGAAGTAGTAAAAATTTGAAAACTTGTGAGGATATAGCTAGAAAAGTGTAAAATACGTGGGAAAATGTCTCGAACATGTAAAAAATATAAAATACGTTGCTAAAATGTAAAAATAAATAGAAAAATAAGTAAAATATAAAGTCACATAAAAAATAATTAAAAAAATAAACAAAAAAAAAATATTTCGAAATTGCGACAAAAAAAACGTGAAGACATTTGAAAACGGAAACGGGAATTTCAAAATTCAGTGTGAGTAATACGTATACTTTCGGGCACTTTTACAAGTGCGACAGATAATAAAAAACGAAAAAAAAGTTTTTTAAAGTTGAAAAATGTCATTTCTAAAATTTTAAAAATGCTTTCTCTGAAAAAAAATTTTTTTATTTTATTTTTATAAAATACGCGGCAAAAATACCGTAAACTGCCAAAATTCAAGTTTTAAAATACGAAAAGTAAAAAATTTTTAAACATATTTTTAACTTAAAAATAGATTAAAATTAACAAAACGAAATAAAAAATATTGGCTAAATTCAAAATTTTTAAAAATAATTTCGATTTTAACTCAATTACTCAGAATTGGGAAATAGGCCAATTCGGGCCTGCTTTTGAGGCCTGGGCTAGGCCTGAAGCGCAATATTTACCCCCCCACGTTTTTATTTTTTTCAGACCGGCTTAGCCTAGTCAAAAAAAAATCCAAATCCGGCCCATTTTTTAAAATTTTAATTTTAAGGTTTAAAAAATGAAATAAAATTTGTCTTGCATTATTTTTTCAGCTCACTTATTGATTATGTTATCCAAAACTATTAAAAAACATATTCCTTTCCCTAAATCTACTCTAAATAACACTACTTTTTAGAAGAAAAGTGGAATTATTTGTTACCTGTTTTGTCGCCGAAGGTGGTCCAAATATGTTATGAATTTGGGAAATGCCCTCAGGGTTTTTATGAATTGTTGTGTTTTGGCTGTGGCGACATTTTGGAGCACAATAAACAAACTCGTATGTCATCGTGTTTTATGCATTGGTTACTGTAATTTTTTTTTGTCTTAAGATTGCAGTAAATTTTTGAAGCTTACTGTATTTTTTTTGTAAAATACGTTTTTTTCACTAATCATTTTTTATTTTTTAAATTAAAAAATTGAAGTAAAAAACTTTCTAAAATATGCAAATGTCGCAAAACCTGAAACCCAACCCTTCTTAGCCGGAGGGCGTTGAATGAACAGGAAATCGGTGGATTCCTTCGTCCAAAACGGTCTCTTAAGTGTCCTCAAAACGTATTTTTACAAAGTTTGGGGGAGAATATGTTATCGCTTATTCAATTTACATTGTTATCTTTTGTTACCATGGCTTTATATTGGCTTAACTTTTTGTTTTTTGGGGGTTTTAGGCTTGGAAATAAACGCTTTTGCTAAGTTTTGATTAAAAATGGCAAAAAATTTTAATTTCGATCATTTTTTCTTGAAAATTTTGAAAAAATGTGACATTTTTGATACTCCAATTTTTTTGAATTTTTCAAAGGTTTTATTACCTAAAATACTGTTTTAGACGTTATAACGCCGGTTCTTCTTTTTTCAAAATTCAAAAATTTTAATTTTTTGACTTTTTAGTCAAAAATATTTGAGTTTCAGCTCAAAATATTTAGTATCATATCACAACTACAAGATATTATAACCAAATTACTGAGTGTTTCTTGGCCCTTCCAACATGTTATGTTTTAAAAGTAATGTTAGCAAATGATGTTATGTTGCGCAAAGTAAATTGGACTTGATATGAAGCCAAACGAATGGCTTCATTCTATCAAAAACGGAATTCAAATCTCAGTTTTTTGGTTTTTAGGTATTAAGTTTGGGATAAAATGGTTTTTGATAACATATTGAAAAAGTTTTTGGACATAAAAAATCATTTTATATATTGAGTAAAGTACCGACCGTATTTTACGATAAAAAATACGGGGAAACAAACTTCAATTTAACGAGTTGCCCGAGAACATTCCACCCGAAAAGGTCTACGAGGAAAAAAGGTCTACAATAAAATAGAAAAAAAATATTTCTGATATAATATAGTGTTATAATGTCTTTTTACCATAGTAACAGGTAAGATACCACAGTGACAAAACATGTTGGTAACTGTAGTATAAAACAATACATTTTTGTAGGTTCTGTGACCTTCTAACCTTTCAATAGCGCGCGCTGATGAACACAAATATCTTGACCGGTTGAATCCAAAACAATTTGGACAATTCTTCAATTTTATCGATGTTACCGGACTAAAAGACGAGGATCTGGTTGATAATGCCAAGAAATTGGCTGCAGAACCGAAAATTGCACAGAGTGCAAAGCTATTGGTGGTGGATGTGTTGAAGGCCAATAATATTAGTGATGAAGTTGTGGAATTTATTGAAGAAGTAGGTTTTCAGAGTCATAAAAGAATGTTCTTTTGACTAATTTTTTTTAATCGCTAGAAATGGCAGAAAATCGATGAGAATCATCAATTTTTAGAAACATGTTTTGTCACTGTGGTATTTTACTTGTTACTATGGTAAATATAGTACCAAAAACATTTTTACTATAACATTTGAAAGGTTAGAAGGTTACAGAACCTAAAAAAATGTATAGTTTTATACTACAGTTACCAACATGTTTTGTCACTGTGGTATCTTACCTGTTACTATGGTAAAAAGACATTATAACACTATATTATATCAGAAATATTTTTTTTCTATTTTATTGTAGACCTTTTTTCCTCGTAGACCTTTTCGGTTTGTAGACCTTTTTTCTCTCGTAGACCTTTTCGGAGTGTAGACCTTTTCGGGTGGAATGGCCCGAGAATTTTAAAGTTGTTCGTTATATAGAAGTTTTGTTATGAAGAAGTTTTAAATACACTGTGTAGCGATAGCCGAATTTACAGAATTTTCATTATATAGAGGTTCGTTGCACAGGCCTTCTAGTATTAGGAAGTCGTAAACTTTACAAAATTTTTTGTTTTTTAAATACAGTAGAACTCTTATGTAACGGACTAGTTTGACTCCTCTATAATGATAGTTCCGAATTACAAGCAGCTTTTAAGTATCCGGTCAACACTAAACAGCACATTCAAAACTTCTGTATAACAAAATCCTTTTGTAACAAACTAATTTCAAATCGTAAAGTTATTTTTTAAAGAAGAGTTTAACTGCGCTGTAAATACTGCAACGTGCATGTTGCAAGTATTTTACAAAAAAAACTTTCATAAATTAAAGTTTTTTAAACAAATCTAATCATTTTAGTTTAGTAATGCTTCAAGATGTCGTATTCTTACTTATCATTTCCATAACAACTGTCTTTTGTAATCAAACGGAATTGACTGGTATACCTTTTTGTTTACTAAAGTGCAAAGATGACCACATGATGAAGGTAAGTCTTACACATTTTTAAACCAACTAATACTTTCCTTATAGTTAATATAACAAACTTTTTTTGTAAAAAATTTTAAATTTCTGAGCAATTTTTAGTGTCGTTGTACAAGGTTTTTACTGTATAAAGAAAGCTAAAGAAAGTTTAACATTAAATTCTGTAAAGAAATGTAATTTTAATGAAATTCAAAACCGTGATTTTCCGATTTGTATTTAGATGGACGGTGAATGGTCCATGGACTTTGCCTTTCCGTTATTGTCGTTACTCCAAAGCAATGGAAGTGAAGATGCCGCATATCATAAAGCTAATGAAATTTGTTAGTAAGTGTTAATATTTTTTAATAGTACAGTGAAACTTCTTTAGTGTGACCTTCGATAGTATGACACCTCTCTATAATGACAATTTTCTGACAGCTCTTTGTAATAGAATTTCTATAAAAAAATAATTAGATAATATAACATTCTGTTTATAACGGGATTTTTGTCTAGTATCTTTAGTGTCATTACTAAAGATGTTTGACTGCACATTTTTCAATTTTAGTTGTTAGGTCAAAAATAATAAATAATATAGCAAAATTGATTAATTTTTTCAATATTATGACTTAAAATTTTTGCATTTACATTTAATTTTTTAAAATAAAATTTTTTAAAATCTTTTTTAACGTTGTTAAAAATATTTTAGTCACAACAAGATGTTGGGACGATGTATCAGTAATTGTGCAGAATCGTTGGAAAAGAAGATATTAAAATTAGGGTTGAAGCCTTGGGACGACATTTGTTTAAATTTACGCAGTAAGTTTTATCATATCATCAAAAATTTTTAAACTTTAAATTCATAGCGCTCAATAAAAATTTACTTTTGAAAAATCAAAAATAGTTTTCAATTTCAATGTCTTGGTTTAAAAAACCGTATTTTAGCCTTAAAAACCCAGTTTGGATGTTGGAAGTTTCACATTGAAAGCCTATCGTTATCTTGTTATTTGGAAAGCCAGCAACTTCGAATATCGATGAGAAAACTGGCAGAAGATGGTCTTTTTGAAGATGTTGGTACGGTGTGTGCAGAAATGACAGTACTATCAAAATGTGTACTAGAAGAGTATGGACGAGTTTGTGGGAAAGTTACTACCAAGGTTTGTGAAGCTTATAAAACGTAACTCAACTATTAAATTGTTCAAATAATTCTGTGCTCCTTCTAAAGACAAATATTTGGAGTTAAGGGGCACAGAATTATATAAACAACTTAATATTATATATGGTATGGTAGTTCTATATTATACATTTAATAATTATATGTTATGCTATACAGTTTATAATGTAAAATACGAAAATTGTTATGTAGCTATTAAATAAATGTTGAAAAACTTTTTTATTTTTAGCTATTAGCAACATTGTTTCGGTCCAGCCATGATGTCGTTAGAGATATGTTGAGTATAAAGTGGAAAAAGCTACCAGCACAATGTAATGAGACATTGACTTTTGGTCCGATGGTAGCTAAATATGTTGGAAATTCTGTACTGTCAAATAACTTATCATTCACGGCTATATTTATATCAATATTACCTTTTGTATACCTAAACTTGTATTTTGTGTAAATAAATTTTAACGTGTCTTTTACTGTAGTACTTACTGTAGCATTCCAGACGTATTTTTTCTGTAGAATGTTAGTATATAATTCTATAATATGTCAATGTAGAATTTTTAATAAAACTGTTGTCATTTTTTAACGTAGAAAACAACGTAAATAGACGAAAAACTTTCACATTGCCTTAATACATGTACGTCAAAAATATTTGAGATATATCGATTTTTTGAAAACTTGCTTATGTAAAACAATAAATTATTATTTTTTAAACATTTTAGTCAGATGAATTTTTAAAATATGTTGTTCTTCACTACTTTTTACATAAAAAAACATTTAACGAAATAACAGGGAAAAACTTGACCAAAACGTAGAAATGTCGACACGCTTTGATTTTTGGCGAAAACTATTTGTCGTGCAAACATAATATTACCCTTCCAACTCAAAACCAAACCTTTTTTCAATATTTATGTCAATATAATTACATGGTATGTTAGTATGAGTACCTTAAATAATATTATTTATTTTCAAAATCCCGTTTTTGGCAAGTTGTTGTGGCCCGAAAGTCTTTAGCCTCTGTTTCGGATTTGTTCGGCTTGAGAGCTGATTTCGTTGATAAAGTTCTTGAAGGCATTCGCATCACGAAGACATTTCTGGGCTTTGTCTTGGAGATGGTACTTGCAGACATCCACCCAGAGACGAGCACAACCAAGCTTTTTGTCTTTGCCGTCGGTGAAGGAGAAGGTCAGCCAGTATTCGTTCTGAAAGAGAGTGTTTTAGAGGGTGTGGAAGGTTGTTATTCTTTTAAAAATGATTGTCTTAGTAGAAGCAAGATTTTATTATCAATATTTTTCATTATTTTCTTGTTTTTGTCCATTTTAGACATAAAAAAGGCAAAAAACCATGGATAATATAACCAAAATCGCAGAAAAACCTTTGTTTTTACCCAAATTTAGCCAGTTCTCGAATAAAAAGCTTATAAATAAAAGAAAACCTTATTAAAATGCTGTAGAATACTATTATATTACTAAAGCCACCTCTTACAGCCCAGTAAACACCTACTACAACATAAAGCTTACCGACTGAAGAGGTCCGAAGAAACTCTTTGGCAAATCGTCGATGGTGAAGATCTTGGAGAAGGTCATAGTCCAGTGACCCTTTGGTGGTGGACACAACTTGTTCTTGCGTAGAAAGTCTTCAGCTTTACGGTCATTAACATATTTGTGGGCTGACTTCACGGTATCTTGACATTTGTCCAACATATCACAGTAACGGCTGAAAGTTGGTATTTATATTAATTTTTGAGCTAAAAAATGCTTTTTGGTATTTAGTTTTTGTAAAGAATGCGTTTTTTGGCCATTTTTAGCTATACAAAAATTAAATTTTTGAAATTTCAAAAATTCAAGAACCTACCAAGATCCAACACCATCACAACCATCGAGAATGTTCCATCCTTGGCAAGGAATGACCTGCCAAGCTTTGCTACCTTGTTTGCCAGTTACAGCGTGACGTACTTCCAAGTCCATTTCGATCTTCTCGGTCGGTAACTCTTCGTTTACATCCATGGTAACATTGAAGAAGATTGGTCCTGGGAAACGTGGGTAGTCTGGCCAGATGACAATGTTCGATACGTTCACTACGTAATTGGTCCACTGAAATTTGGTATTTTAGTACTATATATTACTTTAAAGAAAGAATTTACGATTTTTTAAGACTTTTTGATGTTAACGGTATCTAAGGGCCATATATAACTAAAGCTGATGTTATTCTAGCCCTTTACAACTCCAAAAACTTCATTCTTAAAATACAAAACCAAAAATTTTTAAAAAATTTTAACAAAATACATAAAACAATGTCATACCTGTTCATTAGCACATCTGCTGAACTGCCATCCTCTGATGACAATACCATATGGACCTGTTGAGTATTTCTCCCAAAATGGCTGAACTCCAGGCAAGGCCTCTTCCCACGCCCGGTTCAATGGACCGGCTTGACGCTTCAGCCTGGAGAATGAGAAGTCGCCATCTGGAGCTTCAAGCGATGCCACCACCATCAGAAGCGATAATGTTACCCAAGCTTTGGTCAAAGCCATTTTGCAAAATATGACTGAAGGTGAAAGTTGTATTGATATAGTAATGAACATTGTAAAAAGATACTATCTCGGTATTTGGTAATGTCACAATACTATTTTTCAAAAAAATAAGTTTAAGTTCCAGTTCTGTACGGTACTATTATATAACATGTAGTACCGTACAGTAAGTAGTATAACATGTAAGATAAACCCTAATAAATCAAGATTACTTTACAATAACTTCTATCTTACGTTTATTTTAAAAGAGACAAAGTAAAACCACCTCCTCAAGCAGAATCCTCACAATGAATACCTACTACAATATAAAGCTTAATCCAAAGGTCAGTGAAAGCTTTTATAAATCAGCATGACGTTTTTAATACGCCGTATAACCCTTATTTTTAAAAGTTTGATATCCCGCAGCGATAAATCAACAATCCTTCCTTAAAAAGTGATTTATCTCACTAAATCACGGCTTAAAATGTCGCAAAATTGACTAAAATGACGTTTTTAAAAGGGCATACGGTAAGTTTCGATTTTTTTTTAAAGTAAGTTTTTTAGGACATTTTTATATTATACAGGACTGTATATTGATTTAAATTTGGCATATTTTACCAGGTGAAAAGATTGTCCATACCGATACCTATTCCCCATTCATTGATATCTTTGCCTCATCTATAACTAATAGTGAACCAACCTCAAACACCCCTTGATACCTCCAAAACACTCCTTAATGTCTTCAAAGCACCCCCTGATCTCCTCAAACACCCCTTAATGTTTTCATCCCCAACCTCCCCACCTAGATCAAGATTACCTTTCTGTTGAAAGTGAAAGTTATTATGAACGCGACGAAAAACAAGTGCCGGCAGTGAATTCAGGAAAAAGTAAAATCCGTCGGATTCAGCGACACTTTTTTGCCCCGTTAACGTTTTAAAATTTCTCGCCCAATACTACCGGATCTCCGTTTACTTTTCAGCTCATCCATCACATTTTTTATGCGAAGAGATCCGTCTGATTTATCCCCCAATTAATAACGCCCTTAACCAAACACCTTGATCACCCCGATTTGGGATCAGTTTGCAAGTTCAATGACGTTGTAACGGTTGGAAAAGGTTAGGTGGCAAGGTCTGGATTGTAGAGAGTTTGGGAAAGATACTTGAAAATATAAACTTTTGTATTATATTATATCAAAGCACGTACTCTTTGTGTACTACAATGAAAACTCTTTAGTATGACACTCAACAGACTGTACCAAGCCTGTCCTTATAACCAAAGTCTTCAAATAATTTTTAATAGGAATCTTATTACAAAAAACGGTCAGAAAGCTCTCATTATAAAGAGGGTGTCGTAGAATCGACGGTCATACTAAAGAGATTTTACTGTATATCAAAGTACGTACTTTGCTTACTATAGCAAAGCTTTAAGGTCAATTTTTCTTAAACTGCCTGAAGATCGAAGGTTGTTGTCATAAGATACTGTCTTTCTACATACGTCTAACACACAAGATGTAAAAAAGCTTAAAGCTCTACCTTCTCTATTACATTCTTTATAAAAAACAGCATTTCAAATTCCAAAAAACATTCAAATCTCAATTTTCAACAGTAATGTCTAAAAGAACATCAAAATAGTTTATCTTTCAAAAAAACTGTCGCGACATCCTTTTCACCTCTTATCTTGCACAACTTCAACCAGTAAAACAAAAAAAATTACTTCCTCACCAAGTTCCCCTCCTACCACACCGATTAGTTTCCCCCCTGTATCCAAGATTTCGACAGTTGCAGTTCGAAAAAGCCGTCGAATCCTGTAGAATAACATCGGAACACCAAGAAGCCGTCGGGCGAGGTGAGACGATAAATTATGAAAAAAGACGCTTTCGAGATTGGAAAAAACCGATTCATCGTAAAAAAGGTCATACATGCGACAAAACCATCGATCCGATCAGGGGGCGCCGTGGAACGCTTCGGTAAGATCTTCACAAGTAGACACGAGTACAAACAATGGCATGCTCGGCTGTGTTACAAAGGGTTGAAGCAAGGTATTGGTAGTCAGCAGATAAAATAATTATCTGGAATCCCATATAAAGTGTCAAAAAGTAAAAACTCCAACCTCAAAAACAAAATTTTTAACAAAGCCGTCTTTTTAAGTTATACAAAACCTTTATTCTCATCTAAATTTCGGCCAAAATCACCTAATCTTTAAACATCGTTGGCGTAATCAGCGGGGTTTTTGCGGTTGAATTTCTCATTCTCCCTTTTGCCCCAGTCATAGGTCAAGTAGGCCACGGTGAATGGTGGAACAACAAAGTACCAATGACGGACGACGTACTCTTGGAACACCTAAAATATGAAAAATTTAAAAAATTAAGCTTTGAAAAGATTTTGCTTTAATAAAGATATGTTACCTATAAATAGGTAAAAGAACTTAAAATACGATTTTAAAAAATCATTAACAATATGCGTTTGATAGAAATATTAAACTCAAATTCATTTGTACCAAAATTAACTATTGTATTAGTCCAAAACTCATAAAACTGTCAACTTACATTAACAAAAGCAGCCTTGAACCATCCTTTCATGGGAGGTTGCTCATTTGGTGCCAAAGACCATTTGTACTGACCGTAAAGCTGAAAATTTATTTAGTTACTATCTCTACCTAAACCATTTATAATTCTAGACAATAAAGCTTACCTTTCCAAGATTACCAAAGTGTTTATGGGCAACAGCTGATGAGAACTTCATGGTTCACCTGACAAAGAAAGCAATTATCAATAAAAATACAAAAAATTTATAAAGAATATCCCGCAAATTAATAAAATATAAAAAAAAGTAATATGTAATACCAAAAAAATATAAAAAAACAAAATCCGTCGCAAAAAATAGGCATTAAACCTAATATTCACCATGATAATCAACTCTTAATAAAATAAAAACAAAATCGAATGTATTCAAAGGTTAATATAACCTGTACAAAACAATAAAAAACACAAAGATAGTCGTATACTCTTTATTTACACCTCAAAGCAGTCCTAATTGCAAATAATTATTTTAGGTACGAGAGTATTTGTCGTACTTCTCAACCTGTCTCAGTTCGTAACTATTTCTCTGAGAGTCGCGTTCGCCGTCCAAATTTCTCTCCCATTCACAGCCAACACCAGGAGTTGGCATCGACCAGCTTAATCCAAAGTTTTCCGATTCGCTCTTCCTGGCCGGAGTTTCGGCTTGTTCACTGTAACATAATATGCATTACTAAATACAATTTTAAACATCCATCTTAATAAATTTGTTCATAATATACATCTTCATAGATTTTTTCAATTCATATTACCAAAAAGAAGCTATATAATTCTCAAAATCCTTTTTTTTCAATGTTTCAAACTTTTCAAAGACAATATAAAAGAATTGAACATATAAATAACCTAAATGTCAAGTAAAATAACAATTAACTACTTACAAAGCTTCCAAAAACTTTTGGCCATCAGAATCAGCCTTGTATACTTCCATCGGTGGCACAACTTGTCGACGACCATCTCTTTCATAATAGTACACATCAGACAGACGGTGATGAATACCTCCTGGAAGCTTTGGCATCTCTATGGCTCTGGAAGCTTGAGTGCTGGGATAACGGTGAGGGAATTGAAATTCAGACTGCAAAAATTTTGATAAAATAAGATAGGCGGTCGAGCTATGCCATATTTAATACTCCAAAAAATATTTTAATGTTCCATTACATTAAAAACTCCTTTATTATAACCATATAAAACCTAAAATCAAATAAAACAATAAAGAAATAACTTACTTTTCCATCAGCAGTCGGAAGACCAGCTACATCACTACGACCAAGCGAAGCCAGCAGTTTATTCCTGATCCATGACATCAATGGAGTTTGAGTCCGCTTCTGGACGGCATCTGAAGCAATCTTTCCAACTCGTTTACTCATTTTGGCTGTAAACTATGTTGTTAAAGCTACATCAAGTGCTGGAAATTATTTTTTTTTATTTTTTCGTTCTTGAGTTTTCAGGGAAGTCGTGGTGGGATTTATCGAATATAAAGATGTAAAATATTTTCGTTCGGAATTTTTCTCGAAGGCGCCAGAATGTGAAAAAGTTGTGAAAAGATGTAAATTTTTACGTTATTTAAATCCGAGTTGGCTGATCTTCTTATAAATTTTACAATTAGTAATCATCTTGTGTTAGTTTTCGCGTTTTGCTTGTTTTTCTCGTGTTAAAACTTGTAATTTTAGTTGAAACCTTGTATTACTCTGATTTATAAGGTCTTTAATTCCATTTTTATGTATGCTGTGTAGTTTCAAGGGATGTAGTGTTTTAACGTTGTTTTTGATTCAGTTCAACATGCCGATCGATTACTCGAAGTGGAAAAACATTGAGGTTTCTGATGACGAAGATGACACTCACCCCAACATTGATACGCCGTCCTTGTTTAGATGGAGACATCAAGCACGTCTTGAGCGGATGGCTGAGATGAAACAGAAGAAAGAAGAAGTGGAAGGAGAGAAGAAAAAGGTTGTCAATAAAGTTCAGGTATGTTTGTCATTCTTATTTTCATTTTTAGGTAATTTTTCTCAAAAATAGCAGAAATTTGAGGTTGCTTCTTATAAATAATACTGGCACGGGGCCAATGTACCTTATTTTGGGTAGTACTGGTGAATAAATGCTCATTTTTGTATTGTTTTGGCTTTCAGGAGCTTGAGGATAAGCTGAAGACTGTCACCGACGAGAAGGAGAAGATCAAAATAGAATTACAAATCAGTGAGATTAAGAAACAGGAAGAGGAATTCAGAAAGAAGGAGAAGGAGCTAGAAGACCAAGAATCTAAGCAACCGTGGAATGTAGATACTATTGGTCATGAAGCGTGGAGTAAATCTGTGGTCAATAAGTACAACGATAAGAAGCCGGAACCTGCCAAGTTGAGCGATGAGGAAGAGAACAAGCGAATGGTTAGTGTTTCTTTTAGTTTTTTTAATTTTTTTTTGGGTAACATTTATATTTTATCATTTACGTTATCAAAAGCGTAAAATAATCAACAAACTCATTTTAGACGGAATACTTCAAGAAGAACGAGGACTTGTTGAAGAAGTACTGTGTGTTGAGCAGTTTTGATGAATGTCGAAAGTTCTTGCTGGAGTATCCTCATCTGGCTTCTGATTTTGCGTCTAGTTGGATTACTATCGAAGCGCTGAATCTGGCAATCGACGAGAATTACGATTTGATGTCTAGCTATGCGAAAAACGGGATTACAATTCAATATTTGTTGGAATTGGCCAAGAGCTTGAACAGTCTAGGCACCGATCCTAAAGTGATCCAGGTCTTCTTCAAGAAGTAAGTTTTGTATTACTTATAGGTTTATAGTTGTGTATTAACGGTTAAAATACGGGAATCGATTGTGTGTCTTTTTCTAAAACGTAGCGTTTTGATTTAATTTTTAGGATTTAAATTAACTTTTTGGGATTTATAATACGTTATTTTTAAAAAATGATTGTTTGAGCTATGATTATCGAATCATCTTTTTAGAATTAAGGCCGCCGACGCCGCTTACATGAAGATGTACGATGATGAAGTGGAAGCGTTCCAGCAACGTTTGATCAAGCGAGGCAGAGAAAAGCGAGAAGCCGCCATTGCTGAAATTGAAGCAGAGGAGAGAGAAGAAAGACTTAAAAATGCCCCTGGCGGCTTGGACCCCAAGGAAGTATTTGAAGCTCTGCCCAAGGAAATGCAAGAAGCCTTCGAATCCCAAAGTGTAGACGCTCTAATCCATGTAGCTGAAGGAATGGACCAAGAGGTCTTCAAATACCATCTGGATCGTTGTATCAAATCAGGCTTATGGATTCCAAACGCCAACGACCAGGACGATGCAGCTAGTTCAAAGGGTGAAGCCGAAAACGACAAGCCAGGAGCCAGCAAATCATCCGAAGCCTAATGTATAAAAGGATATATTTATTTCTAAAGATACTCGTGTATTTAACTATAAAACAAAATTTTGTTATATCATATTTGGTGAATTGCGGTTAGTAATACTTGTAACAATAAAGTTACTTCATAATTGATTATAGACGTCTTTTGCAATTGTAAGCCTCGTTTTAAAATTCATTACCAGAGTCGTACAATTTCATAGTTTGATACCAAGGTTGTTGTATTCTGTACCAAAGTAGCCAAAAAAGGTGACGAGTGTCAGTAAGCCCTATGCTGTTTGGTACAGATTCAAGCGTCACTTTGACAGGACGAACGTCCACCATCGACGCTGCTCCAGGCTCCGTCTCTCGACCTCATGACCCTCAAGTGAAACATCGTCGTCTTCTGTAGAACCCTTTCAGAGATTCCTGAGGAAGCGCCCAAAGGCATGGTGGAGTGTGTAGCACTGGCTACAGGCTCTTTCAGCCGCTGGTCCAGGGACTTTCCACAGAGTGCACCACGAACGACCAGGCGTTCTCACGTTTCTCCGTCGCTTGACAGACTCCCACCTTGAGATTCAAAATCGGAAAGAAAGGTTTTTATAAGGGGCCTAAAACGGCAAATGCATAACGACTGGGTTTGACGAAAAGTTAGAGAAAAGAGACGGAAAACAGCGAAAGCATAAAAGCTGTTTGTGTTTTCGCGCCCAATAAAATAGCAATTTTATACGATGAAATGTCTATAAAAATATATTTTCCACGTAATTTTATTTTTGTATACGTCAACTTTATGAGTATGACTTATTATTAAATATTTTTTATTTCTTGTTAGTTAGCTTTAATAGTTTAATATTGTGATAGTCTGGAAATGGAGAGCAATATAATTAAAAGATTTGGGACGAAAGATGTGATTGACGTTGTGGAAGTTGATGTAAGTTCGCTTTCTTTGTTGTTCTTGTTTTTAGATACTTTAAAGATGATTTGAATTGCTATATATTAAGTTTCTGGAGATCAAAAATACTGTTTTTAGATTTTCTTTGGTGATGGAAGTTAAAATTATAATTTTTAGGCCGAATTTAGCTGTGAACTTCATTCCACTGACAGACAAATCAACCAAGTTGTGAAAGAAGCAAGACAGAAGAAGTTACAAGCTAAAGAGTATGATCTAAAGGTAGTTTAGTTATTTTACGGCACAAAACGTATCTTGTTCTTTAGGTTTTGGGTGTCGTTTGTTTTGTAGTTTTTATGTGTTTTGCATCGATCTTACCTTATTCTGGAGAAAATGATCCTCCCAGGTTTGGTGATTATGAAGCCCAAAGACATTGGATGGAGATAACGACAAACATTCCTGTTAGTGAGTGGTAGGTTTATTTTAATTTGTGTTTTTTGTTGCTTTAGGAGTATCCGATGTGTCAATGTATGAATGTTGAATTCTTTATAAATTTTCTGTTAATACTTGGGAAGAAATTGAGTTTCAAAGATGTATTTAGCTTTTAGTTTACATTTTAGGTACGAAAACTCGACGAAGAACGACCTATTGTATTGGGGTTTGGATTATCCTCCATTAACTGCTTATCACAGCTGGGCAGTTGGCAAAGTGTAAGTATTTATACAAATTCTAAAACAATATCAGTTTAATTTGTTAAAATAACTATAAAAATGGCAAAGATCAGCTACTAATGGTGAATTTCGCTTTTTCAGTGCTGAATTCTACAACAAATCATGGGTAGAGTTGGAAACATCTCGAGGACATGAAAGTTCAGATCATAAACTGTTCATGAGATTGTCAGTGATCTTTACAATGTTATTATTGTACTTACCCACAGTTTTGGAAGTTTACAATGGTATCGGCAAAAGTCAGCCTTTGAGGGTAAGTAAATTACATTAACATTGGTTTTAAGCCTATCGTACGACTTTAAAATATAAAACGCATGATGCATGATTTTTTAATTTAAAAAAAAGTTATTTTAGCTATTTTTAGTTAAAGATATTTAACATAAAACCATATTTTAGATTCCAATGCTGTACGCAGGCCTATTCTTCCCCGGGCTGATCTACATTGACTGCACTCACTTCCAATACAATCACATTTGTCTTGCGTTGGCTCTAAAGTCGTTTGTGTTGATGGCTAAAGGCCAGCAAGTACTTGGGTCGGTCTTGTTTGTTTTAGCATTGAACTTTAAACAGATGGCATTGTATTATGCACTACCCGTCTTTTGCTTTCTATTTGGACGATCATTGAAGCGCGGCGTTTTTGGAGGGTACGTTGGAATTTGATTTGGTTTAAGGGGTGGTTAAAGGTTGTAAAGAGGTATATGATAATAACTTGAAAATGGGAGGAGGTATGTGGTTGCATTAGATTGAAAAATTTAATTGTCTTGCTGGTTTTACTGGTAGAAATTATGATTTATGTATATTATAAAAGTTTTATCAAGGCTTTTGAAAGTATATTTATTGTTTTAGGTCGGTAAATGTAATAAAACTTGGAGTTACTGTAATCCTATCTTTTGCCGTCTTATGGTCTCCATTTTTAAGAGAAGGACGATTTATTCAAGTGTTACATCGAATTTTTCCGGTTGGAAGAGGACTGTTTGAGGTATGCCTTTATATCGAAATGGCTAGGCATGTCTAGTTGTTCTTGTAAATATACTCATTGTCATTTCTTTTCAGGACAAGGTAGCATCGTTCTGGTGCGTAGCTAACGTGCTGGTTAAATTTAGAAAGTATTCACAACATTCTATGGCTATCGCGAGCGCAGCAGCAACATTAGTTGTCAGTGTACCAGCTTTGTTAGTGCTACTGCTGAGACCGACGGAAAGAATGTTTAAGCTGGCATTGGTTTACGTTAGTCTGGTGTTCTTCTTGTTTTCGGCACAAGTTCACGAAAAGACAATATTGTTTGTTGCTTTGTAAGTGGTTTTTAGTTTTTATATTTAAATCATAAGGTTTGACCGGTAGAGGTGATAATTTAGGCGAAATATGATTTTTACTATCTTTTTTTTGGTAATTTGTATCTTTATAAAGTTTTTCTTGTTAAAATACGGGTTTTTTATATAAAAATAAATATCTTGCTCTTCAGACCAATACTCTTCCACCTACAACAATATCCTGTGGTTACGATGGATTTCCTCTCTGCAGCCGCTCACAGTCTATACCCACTAATACATCAAGAACACGCCATTCAAGCTTACCCGCTGTTCATCATGTATCACATCTTTTGTATTCGACAAATACGAGCCAAAAAGACCTATGTTACAGTAATCAGGATCCTCAACCTAATGGTTTATATCGGACTGGCTGTTGGATTGACTTTCATCAAACCTCCGGAACGATACCCACATATTTGGCAATTACTATTCGCTTTCTGGTCTTTTGTCAACTTTGTCTATGTTTTACTGTTCTTTTTAATTCAGATGTGTATACTGTATTTTGAGCCGGTGATCAAGAAAAAACAAGAGTAAGATGGTGATGTTGAAGTAGTTTTTTATCTGTTTTTAATTTTCTTGATAGAAGAGGTAGTTTGTGTTGTTCTAGTGGCCGTGAGAAGAGTTTAATGAGGTTAATATTGAAGATTTTGTTATCTATTGAGTAGTAAAAGTTCCTTGTCAAAGTATATTGTGTCTTGCTTTTATTTATTTTAGCTATGTGCTTTATGGTTACAGAGTATTTAATAATTATTTATAACGATTTTTTTGTTTTGTTAAGTTTGTTGCCTATTTTATTGTTGTTAACGATTAAACACGGGTTTTTTGATGTTGAGTTAGATGATGGTATAGAGTGTTGTGCTTGGAGACAGTGATATATTTTAAACATGTAGTAGCTCATTCTGGATTATATGCTTTATGGGTACTTTTTAATTTTTTTTAAAAATTGTTTATGACTTCCAGCTTACAATCAGCTGATAAGATGAATTTAATATTTATTAAATTTTAAAAATCACAAATTTTATTTTCCTGGAGGAAGATCGCCGGCCGGAGTAACGGTTGTTGTTGTGGTAGTGCTCAACGTAGTAGTTGTCGTAGTTTCCGTTGTTGTCTTTTTAGGTTTCGGAGTTCTGGTACGTCTTGTCAAATGACTGGTCGTGGTAAATGGGTGACGAGTAGTAACTGGTGGCATGGTAAAGTTCTGCTCAGCGCCGTTTTTCACACAACAAGATATTTTACATTCATTATTTTCGCAGTACGTTCCACCACAATGATCATAACCTAGATTTCCGCATTCTTTGTCCTCACAAACGCATTGTGTACCATTTGCACAATGTGGACCACGACATATTGGTTTGCATACGGCATCAATGAGTTCTCCATGTACACAGTAGGTGTAGCCTTCGTCGAAACACTGTTTTACCATTTGTTCAGTACAATCACACGGTGTTGGCAGAGTGGGTTCTTGAGGATGGGGAGTTGCAGTGTCGTTGCAACAACTAAGTTCACATCGACCATCTTGGCAGTACGCGGTTTCACAATACTGGAAGCCGAGCTCCACGCATTGTTGGTCCTCGCAGGTGCAGTTCTTTTGAGGACAATCGTCGACCTTGATGCAGCTGTAGTCGCAAACACCGTTTGCGTCGAGGAAGGCGTCCACGCAGTATTCGTAGCCTCTTTCGATGCATGTGAAGTTGTCGCATACGCACTGTTGTAGTGACCCTGTGGGTGTTGGGTCAACTGGTTTTGGTTTTAGTGTAGTCGTTTTTGTTATGATTGCGGTTGTTTGTGTGGTACTGTCTGAAAATAGCTTTTTTACATTACAAATGGTATATTAGCCATCTAGCTATTATAAAACGCTAAACTTCACCTATACTCACCACACTGTTTACAGCACTGAATATAACAAATCTCATTGATACAAATCGTGCCGGAGCAACTATCAAAGCCCAGGTTAATACATTCATCGTCGCTACATGTACAGTTCTTGTTCAAACAGTCTCCCTTCTTTCCACACGTGTACGAACATGTACCATTAGCGTACTCAGCGCTCTCGCACACATTGTACCCATGTTCAACACAGTACTCATTGTCGCATGTGCAATTTTCTGGGCTACTTGGGGGATTGAATGGGACTGGAGTTGTGGGTGCTTTAGTTGTGGCTGTAAAATATTTTTTAATTTATACGACGATATTGTCGGTATAGGAAAGGGAAGATTAAAAAAATTTTTAAATTTCGCATCTAATGTAAAACGTTTTTTCAAGATGACAAAAAGAAACTGACGTAGATGACAGCATTTACTCATGCATTCTCCATCATAGCAATATGTACCACAACATCGTTTGCCTTGTTCGCTACATTCCTGTGCGTTACATGTGCACTTTTTATCAATACAATCGCCTTCTTTTTGACATTTGTAATCACATACGGCCGTTTCATTATTGAATTCAGCTTTTATGCACACTTCGTAGCCTTTACCCTTGCATTCTTTGGTGCTGCACTTGCATTCGGCTAAATTTTTTAGAAATTTGAAATTAAAAGTGCAAATAAAGAATAGTAAAGCAATAACTATTATATTATGTTGTTCAAATAATTCTGTGCTCCTTCTCAAAGCAAATTTTTAGGGTTAGGAGCACAGAATTACTTGAAAAACCTAATACAATACAAAAACTCTTATAACGTACCAACATCGTTATTGCAAGCCACATTACAAATGCCGTTGTCACAAAAGGCTGTGTAACATGTACTGTTAATACCATACAACTGAAGACATTTCCGATTACTGCATTCACAACTATGGTCCAAACAGTCGCCTTCTTTTCGACATTTCAATTCGCATTTGTTAGTGTAATCGTCTATACTAGCTTCGTAGCAAAATTCGTATCCTCTGTCTATACACGGTTGGTTGTTACATTTACATTCTGAAACGATAAAGATATATAGTAAGTTCTTTGCTTAGTAGACTTTAAAGGAGCAGGACCTGGCCCGTTTTTCAGTTCGTCTGTTTTTAAATTTGATCCGGCTCGGCCTAGTTTGATCCGAGGAAGAGTCGGGACTAGTGAATCCCGTTCAGGTCTAAAGATAGTGGGTACGATAGCTTACCTTCTTCTAAAGCGTATGTGCTGACATAGAATGAACAAAGAAATAAGGCTACAGTAAGTGCACTGTAGCTAAAAGCCATTATAAAAGCACAAAACAAGAAATAACGTTGGCTTTTATACATTAATTTAATTGTAAAATTGCCTTTTTTAATAATAAGCAATTTAAAATCACAAAACATTAAAGTTTTATTAAACTTTTTTTAATAAAAATTTTAAACAGCTACGGTAATGGACCTTAAGTTTAGTGATTGAAGAAATGCAATTAATAACTGTTGTTTTGATTTACTTTACACTTACATTTTTTTTAAAAATTTAATGTTTATTTGAAAAATTGTTATTTAATACTGTGTTTTTGCTTTTTACCGCTTAATTAATCAAATATTTGCTTGAGGTTTTAAAACTAATAATATTTTTTAAAAATAATTAAAATCAGTGTCTATAAAAGCATAAAAATTTAATAATTCTTTCATTTGCATCTTGTTGTATAGGAATGGCTCTACAAAACTATGTTTTTGGTGTTTTGTTAGTCGCAACTTTTATTGTAACAGTTTTTTCTCGTAAGTATCTTGCTAGGACAGTACCTAACCTGTCCCGCTCATAACCAAAACGTTTTTATAACTTCCCTGTACCACTAGTAGTACCCATTAAAAATTCAAGCTCGCAATTTTGAGTTTTAAAATTTGAATATTTGAGTTTTGCGTCAATTTTGCAAATTTGGCATTGTGTTTCAAGCACTTTTTGGCTTTCCAGACAAACTACGTCTACAAATTGCAAAATTTAGGTTTATTTGAAGGTTTTCTATTGATATATCATAGAAAAATGATCAAAAGACAAATTAATAAGCTTGATATCACTTTTAGTCGAATGCGAAAAAAGCGATGAAATATGCCGGCAGAGAGGATACACCACTTGTTATAAAATTTTTATAAACGAAAATGGTGAATGTGACTATGTTTGTCAGAGAAATGGCAGTTGTCCTAACCAAGAATGCGTTTGCCACGATTGGGAATGTCACGCCTTAGGTAAAGACAAATGCGACGGTACCTATTGTGAAAACGGCCGTTGTCATAATAGTTGTTGTGACCAACCGGCCTGCCCTTGTGATATCGAGGAATGTAAACGCCAAAATTATACTCAATGTGTCTTTGCGAAGAGAGTAAACGGAGCATGTACGCCAGTATGTCGAGGTCCAACCTGTCCAGATGGAAAAAAATGCGAATGCAAAGACGAGGACTGCAAAAAAATCAACATGGATCATTGTGCTGGATCATACTGTGAAGACGGTCATTGTCAAATCAGTTGTTGCGATGTCCCGGGTGTTGTGAAGAACTTCACCGTACTCCCAGATTCTACTCTTGTACCCGTGACTAGTGTGCCAACTACTAGACGCACAAGAACTCCGAAACCAAAAAAGACAACGACGGAAACTACGACAACTACTACTTTGAGCACTACCACAACAACAACCGTTACTCCGGCCGGCGATCTTCCTAAAGGAAAATAAAATTTATGATTTTTAAAACCTAATAAATATTAAAGTCATCTTATCAGCTGATTGTGACAAAGTCAAGCCGGTTGGAATAAAAGGTTAATGATAGATTGAATAAAAAAATTAAGTAACGTTATCATTAACTTATAAATACTGTAAATAAAACGGGACTTGAAATGTATTCGTTATAAAGGAGTTTCGTCATACAGGAGTTTTAAATGCATTGTGTAGTGGTTGACGGAGATTTTGTTATACAGGATTTTCGTTATAGAAGAGTGCGTTATACAAAAGTTTTACTATACCGAGTCGTGATAAGATACTTCTCAAGAACATTTCATCACGTTTCTGGTCGTAGTCTGAAGCATTTGTAGGTCAAGCAACCAAGTTGTTAAAATAAAATAAAGTTTTTAATTTTGATTTCTAAAAATTTTTGTTGCAGCAAACAAATGTATAATTAATTGTATACATTAAAAGTTGAATAGTTGTATATTAGTAATGAACTTTTAGCCTGTTCAACAAAAAATAAAAACAAAATTAATTATTAAATTTTAATGTTTTTAAATTAACATTTAGATTAAATTACTAAAATCTTTATTAAAAATTTTTAATATTAATAATTTTTATCGTCAAATTTATTAAATGTTTAATAATATTGCTCTTAAAAGTTTTTAAATTCAGAAAAGATCGCATTAACGTTGTAGTACAATAACCGCAAATGTGGAAGCTGCGGTGCTACACATTGCTCTTTTATCTTACAGTTTTTGTAACTACATGTTATGGTAGTAAGTATTTTAAATTAAAATTATTTTTTATGTTATCAGAAGGTACAGATTAGGCATTGTAAAGGTCAAAGTAGAAGCAGCGGTATGAGACAATAACGAGGTCAAGTAGGCGCTAGAGTTAGGCGAGGTTAAGGATAAGATAATGGTTAGAGAAAAAGGCTAAAGTAGGGCTGGAATAGGTTAAGAGCTAGGATAAGGCTATATTAGAGCATAGGGTAGTGGCAGTTAATAAGACATTGATTTTGATCAAATGTTATGGCTTCAGAAATATGTGCAAAAAACAACCAAGCTTGTCGAGACAAAGGCTACGATGTATCAGTTAAAGCATACTACGATGACCACGGAGAATGTGTACAATCATGCTACAAAAAAGGTGATTGTCCTATGTTTGTGTGCCAATGTGATGATGATCAATGCAAATTCTTTGGGCGTGACAAATGTGGTGCAAACGCAACCAGTTGTATCGACAATAAGTGTCAAGTCCAATGTGGACCACCCATACAAAAGCGCAGAGGAACCACTTGTGATTGTAACATTGATGAGTGCACAAAGAAAGGCTACACTGCGTGTGTTGGTGGTGAAGTAGTTGATGGTAAATGCGTATCAACATGTCGCGGCTCTAAATGTGAAGACGGCAGGAAGTGTCCGCCGTGCCGGGAAGAACAATGTCAAACGTATGGCATGGGCAAATGTTCTGGAAGTTACTGTCAAAACAACAAGTGTATGGTGAGTTGTTGTGAAGATCATGCCAATGTTACTACCCTTCCGCCTGCAACTACGCCAGTTACATCAACATTGCTTACAACTACTACGGTTAAACCTACTACAACTACTACTACTAAAGCTACTACTACCATGACTAAATCTACTACTACCACTACTAAAGCTACTACTACTACTCCTACTACCACTCCTACTACAACAACAACATCTACTACAGCTACCACTACTACTACTACTACCACTACTACTACTACTACTACTACTAGTACTACTACTACTACTACCTCGACTACTACTGAACCTACTACTACTACTACTACTACTACTACTACTACTACAACTACCACTACTACTACTACTACGACAACCACTACTACTACTACTACGACAACCACTACTAGTACAACTACAACCACTACAACAACTACAACAACTACCACGACTACTACTACCACAACAACTACCACACAAGCACCAGCTCCACCTCCACCTCAAGAACATGCTTGGTGCTGTTATGATATTAATCCTTCTTTGGGTATTACGTGTAAGTTTATATATATAGAACAATACCTCCTTTAGGAATTTTTTGAAAGTGATTTCTTTTCTATTGATGTCCCCAAAAAAATAATTTTTTTTAATTTTTTGGGTTTTTTCTTTTATTATTAAATTGAACCAAAAGTAGCGAGACACTTTTTATTTATTTTTTAACTGAAAGTGTCTCGCTACTCCTGGTTCATCCTAATATCTTTTTAATTTTCAGACAGATGGTGTTACCCAGCGGATCCGTACCAAATATGCAGGTGCAGATGCGTTGTGACTATCGGCCCTTAATGTAAAGTTTACATTGTAAATCAAAAATTTCCTGTCAACCAAATATAAAAGACGACAAATTGACAAAGACATAACGACATTACTTACAACGTTTTTTAATAAACTTTTGGTATGATAAAACACTATTAAAAAAAATGTTTATTACCTTCTTCAACGCAAGATATCTATATTGAGACACGAGGAGAGCTGGTGAGACTTGGTGAAGATCGTGAGTGCAATCCATTATAGTTGTTTTAAACTAGGCCTCATCAAGGTAATCCTGTTGCTCGAGCTACCGATATGAAAGGAATGAGGTGCTCTTTAATAATTAAGCCGAGAATGGTAAAAAAACCTCTTAAAGTTTTAACTTTAAAAACAAAGGTTTAAGCAGTTTTGTGAGTTTAGCCCAGCGCGACCCGGGGGTAAGCAGTCCTTTTTTCATGTATGACCGACTAGTCGGTCATACATGAATCGCGACTCCTCTAAAACAAAACTCTTTTATAACAAACAACATTCGAAAAGATTCTGATTAACACCATACAATGCCTTTATAACAACTGTAATAAGTTTTTTTCAAAACTTTTTCAATTGTTTTTTTAATATAAAATAAATTTAAATAGAAGTAAGATCAATGTTTGTCTGACCGATAAGTAAAACTGTTGATTTTCGTTTTGTTCCACCGCAATCGTGAATAATCTCCATTTTTGGCCGTTCCGAACCGGAAATCGCAAAGTGAATTCCGTTCTTATGATCTAGACCCATTGTCCTGTAACGAATTTTAAAATGTATTGAAAACAAATGTACAATATTAAAATTTTTTGATTTTTTTATCCATAGTTGTTTATGTGTTGCCTTTTATTATAGTGAGCTAAAGCTGAAAAAGGCCCACGAGGTTGGATCAGACTAGGAAACACTTAAGCAAAAGGGCCCAGGCCTAAATCAAGATCCGGTCCCTTTACTAGTCTACCGTCAACGTAATTTTAATGTAAGTAAATGAAAGGTAGAAAGTGTAAAAAAGTATTTACCGTCAAAAAAAATTTTCAAAAAAAGTTGAACATGGTCTCCCCGTGGATCTTTTGGAAAAAAAGTTTTTTGACCCACGCCCCCAGACCAAAAGCTCCCGCCTGGCCCTGGTTACAGCAACCTGCAAAGCCCGCCCATGCCAACTTACATTGTAGAATCACCAGCTGTAATGGTAACTCGAGTTTTCTCTGGATCCCATGCTTTTTGACACATAAATGTGATCCTCGTCGCATTAGCATAGTACAACAATAACATCAGTGTTAGAAATTTGTACATTTTTTAGCTTATTTCGCTGTACCTATTGCAACACGTAATCGAAACTGTCGTATTTTACAAAAAAAAATTAAAATCAGATCATAATTGCAGTATCATAACAGTGTTACTAGCTTTTATACTTTACATTACATTATTGTTCGTATGTCCATTTGCAAACATACGAAGGTCATTGTTTTGTGTCTTTGTTTCTGTGTTTACTTTGGTCAAGGTATGTGTGATTATACTGTTTTCTAGAATGTTTTTTATTGATGTCTTGGTGTTAAAGAAATATTTTGTTATTTGTGACCTTAAAATGTCATATTTTTAATTTTTTATGCAATTTTTAATTAACGTTTTTTAAATTTTTTAAATTTTATGACATTTACAATAAACATTTAACAATTTGTGATATAAAAACTATTAAAAACTTCCAAAATTATCAAAAAATTTCAGAACAAACAAAGCCAGAGTGCAAACAGTCATTTTTTATAAGCCCAAAGACCGAAAAGCCCCTCAAACGCCAGACAGAAGAACGAGGGAACGCTCGGAACGCTGGGGGCAGCCGTTTTTTCTCTCTCAAAAAACGACTGTCGCCGGAGGTTGGCGCCTAGTACGAAAAAACACGGACCCTTAAGAGGACGAGATATTTTTTATGGGCTTAAAATAGGGCGCCAAATCCACTTTTTGACGACACCCATTGTTAGACAATGTTGAACATGTAGGTCACAATTAGAGGGGTGAGAATGGACAATGGGGGAATAATTTAGAAGGTATGCACAAGTGGAGTAAACTTACAAAATATAAAAAGTAAAGTAACAAATTTAAACAAAAACAAAGAAAAAATACATTATAAAATACATACACAGTAAATTAAAATTTGCCTTCTTCTCAAAATACCGTCAAACTCCTGCATAACGAATCGCAAGGGACTACAGTGTTCTCTCTATATAGTGAACCATCTGAATAAACACTCTTTTTATAGTAAACAAGAAATTTGTTCCCGCCATGTTAATTTGCACTAAAAAGTCTCTCTGTAAAGAAAACACAAACACAAAATGTCTTTTCAGGTTTCTTATATAGAGAGAGTACGGTATTAAATCTTTTAGCTATAAAAGAGCTGCGTTATACAAGAGTTTTAAATGCAGTCTGTAATATCAGCTGGAGGATTAAAAGCTAATTGTTATACGAGAGTTTTGCTATACAGAAGTTCGTTATAAAAAGTTAAACTGTATACAGTAAACTTTTCTCCTACTTAGCAATGAAATCAAAAAGTTTTACATCTTTACTCTGCCCTGTAAAAGGCAGCAAACTAGTAAGATAAAGCCTCTTATCCTGTTTTTAGACCTTGTTACAGAACTAACATATCAAGCCCAATCTATAGATATGTTACAGAACAACACATTTACAATATAAAGTAGCAAAGTTGGTCAATTTAAAAAAAAAGTTTTTAACAGCCGAAAAATAAAAAAATTTTTAACTCAACTTAACATACCAAGTAACTAAACCAAAGAAAAGTATAAAAACTGTTTAAAGTAGGAGTGGAAAAGCAAAAAAACGTAATGGCAGTTGTTTTTTCTCTCCAAACTAAAGGTTGAAACGCCTTTTCCTTGCAATTTTAAAGCAAAAGCAAGGTCAAATCTAAACCAACATTTTTATTTTGATACAGTATTGTAAAAATTAACAAAAAATGAATTTTATTTCAGCTTCTTTTATGAAAAAATTTTAAAAAAATATTTTAAAGATTTGATTCGTATTTTAACTCGAACACTCATTTTGTTCCCTCTTTTTTGTTCCAAAAGCAGTTTTTCTCCGAACAAAAAACAACTCGAACGTTCCGTTTTCTCTAACTTTCTCTAACGTCTCTCATTCTACCCTTCTCTCTTCTCCCCGACTCACGTTTGCACTTTTCTATAGTTTTTTATGAAATTTGTGCAAATTTAAATTTTTTCTGCGCATAAAGGACAAAGTGATGCGCTAGAATGGAACGTCACGGTACGGCACGGCCAAGGAAGGTACAGTTTGGCAAATGACAATAAATTACAAATTGTACTTGTACTTTAAAGTTGTAAAGTTTTAATTGTGTACAATGGCTTATTATAGTTGTATACAGAGGTTTTTTATAGTAATTGTAGGTTGGAACGGTCAGTTGGGTTGGTTTGGACTACAATAATGGGTTCGCTAATGTGAATTATGGTCGGTAACGGGCACCGATTAGCAGTAGTTAGTAGGGGACAAAGTAAAATGTTTTTATAAAAATTGTAAAAAAATGAGAAAAAGTTTAAAAATTTTGATTTAAATTGACCGCGTAGCCCAGATGACGCTACAAAAATGGCAATTTGCACTATTTTGCAAAACCAATAGTCAACAAAGAAATGGCAAAAAATCTCAAAAAAACCAAAAAATGCCTAAAATATGACAAAACACAGTATAAAAAAAATTTTTTTTTTTAATTTTATGTAAAATATTACTCATTGTCCTTTGCTAACGTCACAAATTCAATATTTCCAAATTTTGCGCCGAAAAACCAGCTGGACTGAAGGATTCATCACATGGTAAAGTGCAAAACCATTAACGTTTTTAAGTCAAAAAGGAATGGACATTCGAACAATTACGAATAAAGAAAGTGCAATCTACGAATTCTATTTCATTTGCATTGCTTTGGCTTTGGAATTATGTCGTACTGAGGGGTGGTTTTTGAAATTTTTTTTTGATTTTTAGGTAAATTGCGGTATATTTTGTAAAATACGGACTTGCTACTTCTAATTGTAAGATGATAAAATGTATTGTGATTACAATATGTTTTGTAAAACAGGTTTTAATATAACATGCTTACTGTAAATTTGCTACAAAAGTTTTGTCGCAAATTCGTATTGTTCTGCTAGTTAAAAAACGACAAGACTTTTATGTCTGTTCATGACATTTAAAAAAATTTAGGGAAAGATAGAGAAGTAAGGGACATGGTAAGTCAAGGTAAGGCAGCGTGAAGAATAGTCAAAGAGGGTAAGCTTTAGAAAAACGGGGTATACAATATAGTAGATAAGGTAAAATAAATTTGAAAAACTTTTTTTTAAATTATTAAAAATTTTTAAATATTCGACTCTCTACTTTGTCCCTATGGCCAAATATTCCTCATACATTTATTTCCTCTCTAAAAAACATCTGAGAGTTCGCTAAAAGTGCACGTGTTCGGTCACTGCCAGCCGTTTTTTATGAACGTCCCAGGCCGTGTCGGTCACTTTTGCGCCGGAAAAAAAGAGAACGTTGGGGAACGGAGGAGGACAGTCGTTCTTTGTGTGCGGGAAGGAATGACACAGTGGTTTTTTGTAGTAAATTTGAGGATTTCACTGGGATTTGGGTTAATGGGAGGGGGGAAGGTGTAAATGGGGAGGGGAGAGGGTAAGGGTGTTTTCTGGGATTTTGAGAGTTGGAAGATTTTTTTTTCAAATTTTCAAATATATATTTATTTTTTGTTTTATTTTAAAAAATTTGAAATTTTCAAAAAAATTAATTTAAAATTTTTAACAAAATTTTCTAAAATTTAAATATTTTGTTAAAATTTCCAAAAAATGCGTTTTTTTTATTTTCCCACACCCAGGCGTTTTTTTTGCGACCTAAATTCGCCGTACCAGGCCGTCCACTCTCACCCGCACGCAATGGGTCAGCCGTTTTTTTTGCACTCTACTGACCCCCAAAGGCTATTCTCTTCCGACGTTCCAAATGTTTTTTGTGTTTCGAGGTGTTGCAAACAATTTTGAATTTAGTGAAGAGTGTTTGGAAATTTGTGTATAAATTTAAATTTAAAAATTTTGAATTTTAACCTTTGGACTATTGTTATGGTATGGGCAGGGGTGTTTACTGTATTGCCAAAAAAAGGGTAATCTTTATGCTTATATATTATAAGTTACAATGTCATTGTTTAATTTGAATTTAATTTTTGTTTAAGTTTTGTTTGGGGTAGGAGAACGCGGGAGGTAGACCTGAAAGACGATCAGACATGTGGGCCCCTTGGGACCGGGCTCAAAGTAAGGCCTCGCGCGACCCCTTTACAGGTCAAGGGGGAAGAGATGAAAACCTAATTTTTAAAATTTAGAATTTTTTAAAACGTGCCGGATCAGGTCGGCCGAGAAAAAGTGAAAAGGGACCGAGATTAAACGTTGTGCTTCGGGCTTGGCCCGGACTTGAAAAGTGGGCCGGGCCGTTTTTCACTTCTAACGCAATGGCGGATAAGAGGGGATAAGCGGTAAGGGTAAGAGAGATAAAAGGTTAACTTTTTTAAAAATTTTTTAGTTTTTTTATAAATTTATTAATATTTTATTTTTTCTTTTCTGTCTTTTCCTTCCCATTGCTATACAAAAAATTTTGGTCTTCTCTCCCCTCGCAAAATTATTTTTTTTCCTTTCCTTGTTAATGACTGGGTGTAGATGATATCTTGCTTGTGAATAACGCAAGAATGATTCAATATCTATTGACCAATTAACTTATAAATTTCAATTTACTATCTTGTAACACACTTATTATAACACAACTTCAAATTTTATATTAAACAGAGTTTAGTCATCCTTTTTGCCTCCCCCCCCTTTCCCTCCACTCATGTTCCTTCCATTTTCCACTGAAAACTAAACTCCATTCTTCTCGTCGCAATAACGAACACATAAAAAGCGAATGAAAACCGAACTATGTGTTGAAAAACTAGCAAACTCTTTGGCTGGCGGGCCTCGGGCAATTTTTTGTGTATCGCGAATGTTTCGGCGGGGAGACTGTGCTGCAGGCATAGGCGGTATGACAGTTAGAGTGGGTTTTTATAAACGAACTCGGGGTTTTTCATAACGAACATTGGGTTTTTATGAAGATACGCCGAGAGAACGGTGGGGAACGACGCGAGAGCACACTCGTTTTTATAGCGGGACCGGTGGTTTTTCTAGCGAGAAGCAGGTTGTTTCAGATGCCTCGAGCGAGAAGAGCGGTGGGAATGGGGGATTCAGATTTTGAAAAACGTTGCG